TCGCCGGGCTGTCTCCGAGCATTGTGAATGAGCGACGGAGCTGCAACCCTGACGATTATCCATTGTTTGACTACCGCTTTCTCTCACCATTTTGTCTTCCTCCTCTTTTCCCGTTTTTTCTTGCTGCTCTCGTAACTCGTGTGGTTTTGCTATCCAGATACTTACTAGACCTCCTGTTTCACTAGTACTGGGATTATTGATTCTAGATGGGCACGGACGTGAGTCTCTAGCAGGCAGCGAAATGAAACAAGAGGCCAGTCCTTCCAGAATTTATTTCAGCAAAAGCTTTCGTGAGTCGGAGCTCACTTCATCAGGTGCATGAACTGTACACATCCATTAGCCTGTGGCGTTTATATTTGCAATAGAAGGGGAGGGGTTGATGTCATAGAGGCCAGTTTAAAACAAGATCCAATCAAAAGCCTAATCCAATTGATTCTGTGTCTTCATCATGCATCTGATGAAATGCGCTCTGACACAGAAAAGCTTGTGCAGGAATAAACCTAGTAAATTTATAGTCTAAAAAAATGTTCTGCTGTAATGAATGTATTAATCTTTGGGTTGCCACAGACTGTGTATTTGTTTAACTGTAAGAGACTACTCTGAAACATTCAGGGGAGTACTTATGAAGGTAATAAGTGCCTAGATGAGGTTAGGAACCAGCATTGTTGGATACTTGCAGGCTCCAAGATTTATACGTTCTACAAACTATGCAAAACTGAATTACTCAGGAGGGCTTTTCTACACAGAGAGTAGGGTAGCACTGTACAAAATAATTCACAAAGGTACTTGGATAAATTATTAGGGACTGTGGTCCATATTACTGTGTATAGTTTGCTGTACTTTGGATCCTACTGTGTAATTTTGCATCACGTAGTGTGCCATATTAACAGTTTGCTTTGCTTCAGTTCTGTTTTTTAAATTTCTGGTCTGTTCTGCAACCCTAATTCCAATTGCATTGTTGACTGAATGTCCCATCTCGTTGATTGTATTAATTCAGTCTGTGTAATTCACCTTGAGTCCCAGTGAGAAAGGTGGACTATAAATTATACAAATAAATAAATAAACCTATAGCACAAGAAGCCACTCTTTGGGAACTTAAGAGCAGCTGCTGCCCAGGCAGTCTCCCATCTAGGCAATGATCCAAATGAGGTCTGCTTAAATTTAAGAATGGTCGTGTTGTGGACATCATGGATATATGAGTTGTCCCTGATGAGAATGAGCATGGTGTTTTCTTTGACATTATTTTCCTCCCTTTCTGTCTGTGTACTGTGTACAGTTCTGGTCACCACACCTTAAAAAGGATATTATAGCTTTGGGAAAAGTGCATAAAAGGGCAACTAGAATGATAAAAAGGGTTGGAACACTTTCCCTATGAAGAAAGGTTAAAGCGCTTGGGGCTCTTTAGCTTGGAGAAACAATGGCTGAGGGGTGACATGATTGAGGTTATAAGATTATGCATGGGATAGAGCAGGTACAGAAAGAGGTACTTTTCTCCCTTTCTCACAATACAAGAACTCGTGGGCACTCCATGAAATTGCTGAGCCATCGGGTTAGAACAGATAAAAGGAAGTACTTCTTCACCCAAAGAGTGATTAACACATGGAATTCACTGCCACAGGAGATGGTGGCGGCTACAAGCATGGACGGCTTCAAGAGGGAATTAGATAAGCATATGGAGCAGAGGTCCATCAGTGGCTATTAGCCACAAGGTATAGATGGGGACTCCGGGGCAAATGATGCTCTGTCTTCTTGGTGCTTGGTGGGGGGTCAATAGTGGGAGGGCTTCTAGTGTCCTGGCCCCACTGATGGACCTCCTGATATCACCTGGTATTTTTGGTCACTGTGTGATACAGAGTGTTGGACTGGATGGGCCATTGGCCTGATCCAACATTGGCTTCTCTTATGTTCTTATGTTCACCTGTTGAAAAACTGAGATTGAAATTCTCTATCTATACACAGTTTCTTTCTTGCCTACAAATTTTTGATCTAATTTTGGGAAATTGGATTAAATAAACAAATGGATGGGGTTCTTAAACTATGGTGAAATCAGAATCCCAGTTCAACTGGAGATTAAACCAAACCAGTTAAGACTTCTCATTGTGGATAAAATGAAGAGTTCCTAAACCAGAAAGTTTTCAATACTGGCTGCACATAGGTGAGGGGAAGGGGCAGGAAAATGTGTAAATCAAGGAATAAATCATTCTTTTTGCACAAACAAACTGGAGGGACATTTCATTGTAGTCAGTGCTGTAGAAGAGATATATAAAACTATGCAAGGATGGAAAAAGTAAACAGAGAATTTATCTTCCTGTCACATAGAGTAAAATTCAGTCACCCAATGAAGTTGATGAGCAATAGTTTCAGAACAACAACAAAAAAAGGAAGTACTTTACTCAGGGAGTAATTAAGTTGCCCATGGATGTAATCCACTAGTCCCCAGCCTTTCTGAGCCTGTGGGTACCTTTGAAACTCTGATACAGGGGTGGTGGAAGCAACTACAAAATGACGGCCGCAAGAGACCTACCGCAAAATGTAGGGGAGTGAAGTCATGCATAACTCTTAATAGTAACTCTTCAGCATTTCAGGCAGAAGCTCTGTTTAACAGGATGCCTTTTAAAATGAACACATTACTGTTTTCTTGCTTACACAGCTTACCTTCAGTCATGCACTGAATATCTTTGTGCTGTGCTGACAGCTGCTGTTGAAGCAACTTTTAAAACAACCAGATCTCCAATGGCCCAAATCAAAAGCCCTGCAGGACAAAAAAAACCCCACCTGGCCTCAGCTACTTTCCCAAAACACTTGGTGGATGCCAGGAGAGATGTTGGCATGCTTCATGGAGCTGACTGGTGCCATGTTGGGGACCCCTGATGTAGTGATACCACTAACAAATGTGGTTCTAGAAAGGGTTTAGACCAGGGGAGTCAAACACGCGGCCCGGGGACCAGATCAGGCCCGCAGTGGAACTGGCTGTCTTCTGTTTCTTCTTCCAGTTCTGTTGCTGCTGCATCGTCGTAGGTTTGCAGCTTACAGATACACACCTGAACAGCATACTCAAGATTGCAACAGCATAGACATTTTGATGCAGTAATTCAGAGTAAGAGGTGTCAGTTACCAGACACTGTTAAATAAACAAAATATTGCAAGAGTGCTAATGTTTTCAACATGTTTTTATTTTAAGTAAAAAAAAAAATCCTTTGTGTCCTTTATAAAGTGTATATTTCCGCTACCTGGCATTACATTTTATGACACACATGTCCTGGCCCAACAAGGTCTCATTTATGTCAGATCCAGCCCTCATAACAAATGAGTTCGACACCCCGGGTTTAGACAGATTAATAGAGAATAGGTCCATTAATGGCTACTTGCCATGGTGAAGTAAAGGGGACCCCCACATTCAGAGGCAGTACATTTCTGAATGCCTGTTTTAGTGGGCAACATCAGCTACCACTATGCCCTGTTTGTTGGCCCTCCAGGGCAACTAGTTTATTTATTTAGATACTTATAAGCATTTTTTTCTCCCCCTGAATGGGGACCCAAAGCTACTTTCAACATTCTTCTACAGCCAGTTTGGTGTAGTGGTTAAGTAGGCGGACTCTGATCTGGAAGAACTGGGCTTGATTCCCCACTCCTCCACTTGCACCTGGCTGGATGACCTTGGGCAAGCCGTAGTTCTGATAAGAGCTGTTCTTGAAAAGAAAGCAGTTTCTGTCAAGAGCTCTCTCAGCCCCACCTACCTCACAGGGTGTCTGTTGTGGGGAGGGGAAGGGAAAGGAGTTTGTAAGCCGCTCTGAGACACCTTTGGGTAGTGAAGGGTGGGGTATAAATCCAATCTCTTCTCTTCTTGCTTCCATTTTATCCACACAATGATCCTGTGGGTAGGGTTGCCAGCTCCAGGTTGGGAAATACCTGGAGATTTTGGGGGTGGAGCCTGTTGAGGGCAGGGTTTGGGTAGGGGAGGGACTTCAATGAGGTATAATGCCATTCCAAAGTAGCCATTTTCTCCAGATGAACGGATCTCTGTCACCTGGAGATCAGTTGTAATAGCGGGAGAACTCCAGCTACCACCTTGATGTTGGCAACCCTACCTGTGGATAGATTAGGATGGGAGTGAGTGACTAGCCCAAAAGTCATCCAGGAAGCTTCTTGGCAGCGTCAGAATTTGAACCTGGTTTCCTAGATCCTAATCCTGCATTCCAACCACTACACCATGCTGGTTCTGTTACAGTGGGTGGCCACTGTGTGAAGTTGAAAGCTAGACTATGGTCCCTGCCGCATGGCAGGAAAAACACCGGCCAAAGTGCAGCTAATTAGAGCCGCACCAAAATAGAGACGCCGCGGCAGGATCCCACGGATCCCCTGAGCCGCGGCGCCATTGCTCCCCTGCACGATCAGATGCCGGGGAGGAAGACGGTCGGGAGGGGGAGGCTGCCGAACTGCGCATGTCTGAGCATGCGCAGTTCGGCCAGGAGCCGGGGATGCGCCAGCGAAAGGACGCGCCGGCAATCCCACGGCCGGCCTTGATGCGGCCGTCCCAGAAGAACCACCTCGGTAGGTGGTTCATTTTTGCTCCGTGTTTTGGGCGGAAGGGCCGGATCGGGGACGGGTGCGCAACGCTTCCCAAATGTTGCGGTGGGATCGCACCCATTTGCTCCGCCCCCGATCCGTCCCTCTCCTGGCCCAAAACCTCTCGTGTGACCGGGGCCTAGATGGACTAAAGCTATTATATCCAGCAGGACACTGAAACATTTTGTGCGTTACTTAGGAGCTAGTTGTGTGAATGACCTCTGGGAATCACTCCAGGAGTCAGTAAAATAAGAGACCTCTCAGAAGCACAAAAAAAAAAGTTATATTAAATTTCAAAAAGCCAATGTGCTGTTCTTTCTAAAGGCACCATGGAATATTTCACCTTATTGTTCCCTTTCTTTCTCTCTTTCTCTCTCTCTCTCTCTATCTCTCTCTCTCTTTCAAATGTTTCTCATCTCACCCTTACCTAAAAGGACTCCTGAATTAGGAAAGCCAACATGAAAGGTGAAGAAACTCGGCAGCGGAGGAAGGAAGGCCGGTCTAGAAATGGAGAGCGGTCCAGGCACAAAGCAAAGGCCAAGAGTAAACACAAAGAAAGCAAACTTGGCACCCAGGGAACAGAGGATGGCCCTTTGCTCCTGCCTCCCAAACAGCCAGCTGAGGCAAAAGTGGCCATGGCAAAGCTTCAGGAGGAGTCTGCCCTTGTCATTGGCCTGCAGGTCCTCCTGCCTTACTTGCTGGCTGGCATAGGCATGGTCCTTGCGGGGATGGTCCTGGATCACGTTCAGGTAGGAAGAACAGAAAGTTGTGTGGTTTTGCTTCAAGTGTGTTCAGGTGTCACAGAACCAGGCGCTGCTAGCTTTCCCTTTCAGGCCTCCACAGGCTAAGCAGATGAACGACAAGACCTCGTCTTGGTTTGGCCAGCGACTTCCACCTTATCTCATTTAGATATAATAAGTCTAGCGTTGTCAGATCTGGGATGTAAAATTCCTGGAGGTTTTGGGGGTGGAGTCTGGGAAGGGTGGGGTTTGGGGAGGAGTGGAATTTGAGTGGGATATAATGTCATAGAGTCCACTACCCATTTCCTTCTGGGGGACTGATCTCTGTTGCTTGGAGATCAGTTGTAATCAGTGTTCCCTCTCAGCTGAGTCAGTGTGAGCTGACTCACAGTTTTTTAGCCTCCGGCTCACACGTTTTTGTTTTAGCTCGGGAAGAATGGCTCCAGAGCAAACTAATTTATGCAGTAGCCAAATAACTTGCTCACAATTCTAGTGCCAGTAGCTCACAAAGTAGAAATTTTTGTTCACAGGACTCTGCAGTTTAGAGGGAGCATTGGTTGTAATCCCAGGTGATTTCCAGCTACCATGTGGAACCCTAAGAACTCAGTGGTATCTACGTGATGTCGTTACATGTTATGTGTCATTCTGTATTTTTCCAGACTTTTTTTTTGCTCCTAGATTTTTCAATTAAAAACAAAACACTGGAATAGATTCCTTGTAATAGGTTACTTTTTCAGCATTATTGCAGTCCTTCCACCCTCACACACTGTTTGATTTATTCAGCCAGCAAGGTCATGCTGTCCCTTGTGTATCTGATAGTCTGACACTGAATGCCTTGTTTCATGTCCTAACAACTTTCAGTGAGCTGGTTCTGTTTCATACTGGCATGAATCTTGTGTTGCTCTTCAGGATTAAGGAGATTAGTTAGAAGGGCCCTCTAATCTAATGAAGAGAGATGAGGAAGGACATGCTATCTGTGCTTTTAAGAATCCTGTGTATGGTTACGTGCAGTAAGTGAAGGTAAAGGTTCCCGTGCTCGAAAGCCAGTTGAGTCCGACTCTAGGGTTGCGGTGCTCATCTCCGTTTCAAAGCCGAAGAGCCAGCGCTGTCCGAAGACGTTTCTGTGGTCATGTGGCTGGCATGACTAAACACCAAGGCGCACGGAACGCTGTTACCTTCCCACCGAAGTGGTACCTATTTATCTACTTGCAATTTCTTGCTTTCGAACTGCTAGGCTGGCAGGAGCTGGAACTAGAGACAGGAGCTCACTCCGTCATGCGGCAACTCGGGTCTCGAACTGCTGAACTACTGACCTTCCACAGCCTGCAGTTCAGCGTCTTAACCACTTGAGCCACCGCAGTTGCTGGAATTTGAATGTAGGCCTCTTTCAGACTATTAAGCCACAGACACTGAGTTAGGCCTGTGCTCTGAGTACCCAATATCTAACAGGTAGATGTATTAGATATTCAAAAGTGTATGAGAATTTTGGTATTGGTGTTATTTTTAGTTCTCACTTTGTTAACTTGGCTTGCAATCCATCACCCAGTCCTTTGTGTAAATGTCTCCTTTTATACATACACACACATAATGTATATGTGTGGGTGTGCCTATCGTTCTGGTGGAGTCTACTGCAGCCTGTAGAATTTAATGGATAGCTTCAATTTCAAGCATGGACAGCTTCAAGAGGGAATTAGATAAGCATATGGAGCAGAGGTCCATCAGTGGCTATTAGCCACAAGGTATAGATAGGAACTCTCAGTCTGGGGCAAGTGATGCTCTGTATTATTGGTGCTTGGAGGGCGGGCAACAGTGGGAGGGCTTCTAGTGTCCTGGTCCCACTGCTGGACCTCCCGATGGCACTGGTATTTTTGGCCACTGTGTGACAGAGTGTTGGACTAGATGGGCCATTGGCCTGATCCAACATTGGCTTCTCTTATGTTCTTATGTTTCAATAAATATCTGTCTGCAGCCTTTAAATTGTAGGGTTGCTGGGTCAGAGACATGTATCTTTTGCTTATGTTATAAAATGCCACATATCTTAATGCTGCAAGTGTAATGATAATGATGATTATGATTATGATGCCCACCTACCAGAGTGACAGCTATGCTGAATACTAGTTTGGCTGTATTTAGGTATCATAACAACTGCAGCTAGTTGTAATGTCGAAATGCAGATAATCTAACAAATCAGGGTTTGTTGGTTGGATTTCAAACTGGGGTTCGTAGCTGGCTTGTTAATTACAGTTTGTACCAGCTGAGATATGTTTGAATTCACTACTCACAATTTATTAAATAGCACTGTCCCTCAGAGTCTCCGGGCCACAGATGGCCTGCCTGCTGGGAGGCAGGAGAGAGGCAAGAGGTAAGTACACTGGGGTTGATAGACAAAATCGGTTTGTTTCTTGTGGCTGCATTCAGAAATGATGACTTACAAGGTTTGTTCATGATTTGTAAGTACACAGCATGTTGCTGTGCTTTCACATTCTCCTCATAATCCTCCTTTCCTCTCATAGGCAGAGTGTGATTGAAGACTTCCAAGTATGGGAGCTCTTGAATCAAGCTCCAGTTTGCTGTAATGTCAGAATACAGAATACAGGTGCTCAGCTGAATTGGCTCCCTTCCCACCATAAACCAGAATGCTAAACTGGGATTAAATTGAGGTTTCAGATCCTGGTTTGTGGAGGAAAAAATAACTTCCAGCTCATCCAGGCATCTGCATTCAAACCCCATGGCAAATTGGAGTTTGATTAAAGGAATCCTAAACCTGGAAGGCTTTGATCAATTGTTCTACACTTATGTCAGGAGGAGTGGGTATGTATGCATGTGAGTATGACAATCATCAGCATTTGTGCCTGTCACGGACAATCATCTGTTTGTTGTCTGATGCCTGAATCCAGACTTGGGTACACTAAACTCCTGTTGCACAAACTCCTGTTGAACTAACAAGGGTTTAGGTTGTGATGCCTCTCTGCAGTCTACTTGTTGTAACTGAGTCTGGAGTACTGTTGCTTTTAGAGGTGTGCAGATTCTGGCACAGAATTTTGCATCTTGAGAGTCTGTTTTTATTTCATCCTTTCTTTACAAGCAAGTTTCCAGCCATAATGGGTGTTTCCCACTTGAGGGCAGTCTCGTGTAGTTTCCCTCTTGCTGCATGGCTGCAAATACAGTGCAGCAGCAATAGGGCTTCTACACAGCAGGTTTCCCTATACTTTTTGTTCTCGGCTGTTTAATAGCATTATATCAATATAGGGATATTTATTATTATTATTATTATTATTATTATTATTATTATTATTATTATTATTATTATTAATTTTCAATTTGTCTCCCGCCTTGCCGGCACAC